AAATAAATGATTTAGTTGACTGTGTTTGTATTTTTTAACAGCTAGCAAAACAGTTGAAATAAACATCTACATAATATATAAATAGCCTTTCCAAAAAAATGGTCTTCCTAGGCAAGAACTTTTTCTCTTGCTGCAACTTTCTTTTCCTACCCTGCTACTATTGCTGAATACAAAGAGGATCCCATCTCCTCACTTTTCTAGGGCTAAAGCTTCTTACTCTTACTGTTGTTGTGTCAGTACAGGAAAGAGATTATAGAGAGGAACACTGTTAAATTGAGAAGAGTGTGAATAAAACTTCATCACCATTTTCTTGCAGCATGACTTCTATAAGAAAGTACTCTCCAGGTACTGAATCATCTGTTTAAAAATGAATGTTTATTGTTGTTGTGTGTGTGTGTGTGTGTGTGTGTGTGTGTGTGTCTTCCACAAATGATGGCATTATATACACTGCTTGGCATTTTGCTTTGTACACTTAACGTGTCTTCAAGATCTTTTCATATTAGTAAATAAAGATAGGTCTCATTATTCTTAGCAGATGCCTAACATTCCCCAGCATGTTTTTAAGTGAGTGACTGTTCAAAAAATATGAACATTGGGGCCGGCCGAGTGGCTCAGTTAGTTAAGCGCTCGCTCAAGAGTTTGAGCTCTGAGCAACAGTGGTGCGAGTCCCGGCCCGAGCTGAGCAGCTGCTGAGCTGCCAACAGGTGGCATGATGGCTTAGTTAAAAAAAAAAAAAAAGAACATCAAAACAATCTAAACAGAATAGAACTAATGTTTCATTTATTTTGAACCTAGTTACCAAAGTCCATCATCAGCTTTTGGACAGACTGGGCCTTATTTGGGGACAGAAAAGGAGCAGCAAAGTCTAGGGAGAACCATAGTTTGGTTCTGGGGCATTCTCAGGCTGACCTAGGATCATCTGAGTTCCATATACTTGGGGTTGTGCTATGCCAGGGTTCAGACCGGCCCATCAACTCTAATTCTGGTAATTTCCAAAAGGCCAAAGCAGTGGATTAAAGGCCCTTCAGAATCAGAATGCCCATGGGCCCACGTCCTTCAGCATCCAAACTTCTGAAGAGGCACAGAAACAATGTGCTCAACTCCAGACAAGGAAA